CACACACACACACACACACACACACACACACACACACACACACACACGGCACTGTGCTAGGCATAAGGGATACCAAGACAAAAATGAAACAGCCCCTTGCCTTCAAGTAGCTTATATTTTGTTGTGTTCTTTAATACATATTTAGTGCCTGCAATATCATTCCTTCCAGAGGAACAGGGAGTTCTTTACCAAAGTTCCAGAGAATCTTTCATAGCCTGGCTTAGGTAAGATTACAAGGATTCTGTAGAGAATGCTTGTTAAAGGAAATTTAAGGTACTGTTGACCATTAAGAAGCGAGAATGATGGACACAATAACTTACAGACATGTTCATCTGATCTTCATCTTTGTATGAGATAAACTTTCTGGAGTTTAGGCCTTCAAAGCCTAGAATATGAACATTTTGGACTCCTACTATAGTCAGGCTTCCTACTTTAAGTGTCTTTGTTACTATCCCTTCCTAAACACTTGAGGAAATGTTTGTAGGTTCAGGCCTTATGAATTCCTTTCTTACTAGTAAGGCATTACTATACTAGCATTTGAGGAAAAAACACCAATTATGTATAGGTAGATAATTATGGGTATTGTTATAAAAATTGGTTGTGTCCAGTTTTGGACTCGGCATTTAGTTCCTTTAGACCTGGATTCATCACCTCCTTTGCCTCCAAACTTTATCTCTATCTCCTAGCCAGGATAATTTTCTACTTACTATCCCAAGAATTGTGTCATTCTTATAATTCTCTACTGTTTCTACCTTAAAAACAAGCTAGATTACCTGTTTACTACCTTTTTTGACTTTGTATATGCCTTGGAAGCTCTTTGAGTCCTACCATCTGCATGAAACTCTTAATACCATCCACTGTGATCTCTCCTTTCTCTGAACTATGTAGTACTTACTTTTTACAATGCCTGATAACTGTTTTGTTTTATTCTCCAGTTTCTTGCATTTTTCTCTTCTCCTGAATAGCAACATTGTAAACTCTTAAGGGACAGGGACTCTGTCTCATATTTTTAAAAAATAAATATTCTACAGTCTAGCACAGTGCCAAAACTTACATACCTGGTTTGGAATACTTCATTTGAGACTAATGTTGTAATAATCACTTTTCATATGTCTTATCTACTTTCCTTAGTACTGCTTATTTCACTACTCTTCTAAGAACCATGTAGTATTTTTTTGGCGGGGGAGGGTGCAGAGGTTGGCAGGAGATGATCTTAGGGTAAGTAAAAATGTGTTTGGTGTTTCAGGAATCAGTGACATTCAAAGATGTGGCCATGGACTTCACCCCAGAGGAATGGGGGCAGCTGGACCCTGCTCAGAGGGATGTCATGCTGGAGAACTATAGGAACCTGGTCTCTTTGTGTAAGGACAGTTCTCCCTTGTGACTCAGAATCTGGCTTTAGGGTATTAGTTGTTTTTATGTATATTTATAGCACCTGAAATGTGTTGTTGAATTTTGACTTGGGTTTAAGGGATCAAAGATTCCTAATTTCCTCTTTGGCTTAGGAAAAAGACATTAATTCTCCCTATCCCTGTATCTGTTTCTGCTAAATTAGAAATGGGCAACATTGTTGTGCCACCCTTGGGAGGGTGTGGTTTCCCCATCTTATATTTCCTTTGCCAGAGAATCTCCACTAAGGTGTCAGTACAGATACTTCTACAGGTGGAAAGTTACCATTTTATAGCAAGGAAAGTGAAATAAATTCCCTGACTAGTCCTCCTCACTCTCCTTGGAAACAGAATTCCAACCACCTTTGTCCATTGTACCTTTCTCTGGGCCTTTTGATATTGCTTTCTCTTCTCTGTTGACCAAGAGGCTGGAACTGAGCCCTGGGATGGTTCTTTGGGCCCGTGACAAATGTCAAAGTCCCATTTCTTTCCCAATGAACAGGGCTTCCAGTTTCCAAACCTGATGGGAGCTCTAATTTTGATCAAGGAGAAAATCAATGGATGATGGAGAGAAGAGTCCCAAGAGGCACCCGTCCAGGTGAGCAAATAAAAATCAGGCAAGTGAGTTAGGGTGTTAAATCAGATGTCTTCCATTAATGTGAGAGTGGCAGCTTTGAATTATTTTGACTTGCTATTCTCTCCTTGCTCCTGTCTTCTCCATCCCCCTTTCACTCCTCCTGGTCTTGATATCTATCCTTTTTTACTTCCATACTTAGAAAAGAGAAGTCTTTATCTGTTTCTTTCCCAGTTTTGTCTGATCTACAGCAACTGACTCTCTTTCTTCATCTTTTCTTTTATTCCCCACCCTACCATCAAGACTGTTGCACAGCTTTGTTGAAGCTGTAATCCTACTTCCTTCTAATAAAGCCTTTTCTAAGTCCTCAACCTCCTTTATTTCTGGTACTTTGATTCTCTTTACTGTCTTTTACACATATAATGCACTTTGTTACTTTTTAATCTTTGTATTTCTTTGATCGCCCACTCTCCTTTTTTTGGAAGATCCTCAGCAGTTTTTATTTATTCAAGTCATATACATAGTTTGTGTAAAGAAAGGGAGAAGAACACTGAGGCAATCTGTGTTGCAGAGGCACTGCAGCACTGAGGCATCTGTGAGAATGTTTCAGTAATTCTGGTTGAGATGATAAGGATTCAGTCTTACAGTGTAAATGGAGAGTAATTGCCTTTTAAAGACACTCTTCCCAAACACTGTGAGACATTACACTCTTGATGGTTCTACCTCATAAAGTACTGTCTTGTTCACTGGCTCCTTTTCTTCCCCATTTCCTCTTCCCTTCCTTCATGCCCCCGTTAATTGTGGGATTCTTCAAAGCTCTACCCTGTCCCTCTGCTCTTCTCTCTACATGTTTAGTCTTATAGAGAGACCTTGTATTCTTTGACTTCAGTAACTGCTCCTTTTGTATAGTTCATACACTCACATAGTAAGAACTTAATAAATGTTGAATTGAATTGAAATCCTTTCTCTGTTGATGATGACCCTAAACGTTTATTATAAGCCCTGACTGATCACTTTACATTACAGTTCTAGATTTCCCCTGCCTATAAGAATTTGTTGCTCACTGATCCCTATTCTTCCTCTCCTCCCTGTGATCAAAATCTCATTTTCTATATATAGTAGTTATAGTCCTATAACCTAGGGTAGAAACTTGTTCTTGACTATTCCTTTTTCTTCCTTCCTTACAGGCAGTGACTGCTTCTTATCAGTTATTCCTTCTGTTCACCCTTTACTTAATACTCCTAGTGCTATACCCCAGACCCAATGATCTTGTACCTGCATTATTGTTGTATTCTGGATAATTTCCCTCACTCTTGACTTTAAAAGGTGGAAATCTTTTACAGTGCTGCCAAGGGATGGGCAGGATTTAAATAAATGGAAAATACATCAGACTGTTTTGAGAATTAAACAGGGACTACTCCAATAATAATAATTATTTAATTCTGATATGGAATCCTGTTTGGTATATGTAGGGGACAATAAATAGTTAAGCTAGACTGAAATTTGCATAATTTGAGGCACATTTGTAAAATTGGTTTTACATATATATATATATATATATATATATATATGAATGGGCAGCAGGATCTTTCAAAGCTAAGCAGAAGAACTTATACTTAATGTAGACAGCTTCTTTGTCATCCATGTGCCAGGTAGATTAAAATAGGGAGAAACCAGAGGTGGAAAAGACCAACTAGAATACAGCAATTTAAATATTGATGGCCTTAGAAGTAGTGAGAATAAAGAAAAAAAGGTAGTTAGCACAGTGGATAGAGTGCCAGGACTGGAGTCAGAAAGATCTGAGTTCAAATGTGATCTCAGCTACTTAGGAGGTACGTGACTCTAGGAAAGTCAATTAACCTCTGGCTGCCCCATTTTCTGCCACTCTAAAATGGGGATGATAATAATAGCACCTACCTCCCGAAGTTGTTGTGAAAATCAGAGATAAAATTCATAAAGCACTTTGCACAGTGTCTGACAAATAGTAGTGCATGATAAATGCTTGTTTCCTTCCTAATGTGAGAGACATTTCTAAGAAATACTTTATGTGTCTTAGTGAAATATTAGCTTTGAGAGCAAAAAGAGGAAAAGGAAAATATTCTGTGTTTTACATCTAGAAAAATGGGATAATAGTGATATTTTTAAGCTGAGATAAAGAAGTTGTGAGGGCTAGCCGTTTTGGAGAGAACGGTGATAAGTTTGATTTTGGATATCTAGAGATCTATAATTTTGTTTAGATTTGCAAGGCTAGTTTTTCAGCTGGTGTTCAGTATAACATCCCAGTTGGAACAATAGTTAAAAAGAAAAACCAACATCAAAAAAAAATCTTAGTGTTGCATGGAACCTTAGAGACTATTTAGTCCAAACCATATATTACCATGAATTTACAATAATTATCATATATCTACTTGAAGATCTCAGAAAGAACCTACTACCTCCCAAGATCTCCCGTTCCTCTCTATCAAAAGATAGAGAATTCTTCATTTAAGGAAGTTAACTAGATTTAACTAGTTAAAATATGTATTTTCCCAATAAAAGATAAATGCTTTGAAATCACAGAATATTTTGTTTTTCTTTTTTGTATCCCTTGCGTCTAGCATGATGCCTTTTATATAATGAATTCTTAATAAATGTTGTTAAACTGAATTGAAATTCCACCACTCTGAGGCCAAAAAGAACACATCTAATCCCTCTTTGATATGATATGATGATAGCTACCATACATCCCTTAATTCTTCTTTCTTCTAGGCTAGGCATTTCCCATTCTTTAAAGCTTGTCTTTCCTAAAAATGTGGTTTCACAAACTGAATACAGCATTGAAGACATGGCCTTATAGAATTAGCCTTTTTAGTTGCCTTGTCACACTATTGACTTTTATTGTATTTGCTGTCACGAGGACGGTTGTAACATAAGGTCCTAGGTCTTTTTCACAGGAACTCTTGTCTAGCTGTACCTTCCCTTATCTTGTACCTGTGAAATTGATTTTATTAACCAAGGTATAAGGCTACATTTGACTACATTTGTCTTTACATATTATTGAAATTGGTTTGCAACATTTTATTAGCCATTTTTGTTCTTTCCTTTCTAATCCAAGCATCATTTTCCTTGTCAGAGAAAATAAGCAAAGGAGTTCTGCTTTCTTTGTTTTCTTTTACTGTTCCAGTCATACTGAGCAACAGTCCTACCTTTCCTTTTTCAACCCAAATACAACTTTAAAAAACCTTTTTTGTTGTACTTTATATTTCTGAGAGGCAGTATATATATTCATGGTGGATGAAAAGTTGGGCTTTAAAGTCTGGAAAATCTGGGCTAGAGTCCTGCCTCTGACACATAGTGGCTGTGTGACCCTGAACTAGTCATAACTTCTCAGTGCCCCACATAGTTCTATAAATTGTGGATTAGTGGTCTGTGTGGTGATGCCTATGCCTCAATGCTGCAATGTGGCTTCTCTACTGGTTGCCTCTGATGTTGTAGTTTCTATGTCCTGCAGATCAGTTGAGGAAAGTGGAAGCTCATTGTCTGAACTGCAGGGACAAACTGAAACTGAACTACTTCTCGATCCAGATGCTGTAAGTAATGAAAGCACACAAGCCTGGGTAGACAGTACAGTACAAAACTGATGGAATAGCCGATGCAAAACTGTGAAGTAAATGGTGATCATTTAAGGTTGTATCTGATTATAGGAAAGGCAAAAGACAGAAAAGTTTCATTCCCCACTACTGGCAGTTGTGATGCTGAAGTAGAAGACTTTTAATGGAATATTCAAGAGAGCCATTTTTTCTAATTGGTTCTCGAACAAATATTAGTGATAAAGGGAGAAGAGTATAATCTGGAAATTATACACACAGTACATCATCAATAGAGTAACAGTACTGAAAGTCTAAAAAAAAAACCCTTCAAAAATAGATTTGAAGGTGAGAAAAATACATGATTAGAAAATTTCACATTATAAATTCTAAATATTTCATAGGACCCGATAGAAGTTTCAGGCTTAAACAACAGTGAGTATACATTAGTCTTCCTTTATACATCTTGGTGTCACTTTTGTGCCAGTCTGATACCATGTTAATTCTTTGCTACAAGCATTTCCAATAATATTGATAGGGGTATAAGGCTTGGCTTGATCACAGTAGGGGAGAAGCTCCTTTCTACTGGGCACAGGCATTGGATTCAAGAGTCTTGTTCTTCTCCCTGGTCAGTGGCTCATGGGACAAGATAGGAGGGGAATTCTTTGCTACTGAGGCACAAGATACAGGTCCTCAGTCATTGCTCTCTTTGATGAAGGCAGGAAGTCTTGCCTGTGAAGATGCAGCTGACAAGAGTCCTAATTCAAACCCTGATCAGTGATTTATGGACCCAAGAGGAAGAGGATTTTTCCTACCACTGAAGCTAGAGGTGCAGTGATCTACTCTTTTCTTTCTCTGTAGAAGACAGAGGTTGGCAGGTGAGGCTGTCTGTCCTGTCCTGTCCATGAAGATATGGCTGCCAGAAAACTTAGTCTCAGCTTTAGTCAGTAGCTCTTAAACTAAATAGAGGTACTGCTGCTTTGGTTGGATTCTTACTGAAAAGGACAATTCTAAGAGTCATTAACAGGAAACCCTGTTAGCTGTGCAGTGACACTTAACCACTACCAGAGGCCGGTGGTGAATATGAACAAGGTCCAGAAGCCAACAGCACAAGCACTGAAACCAGTAGGGAGGAATAGGGAAGGGGAGAGAAGAAAAATAATCCAGGGGGGCAGAAAGAGAGGTCCCACTCAGGGACTTAGGTAATGCCTATTGGATAGAAAAGCTGATCTCTGGACGTTAGCTGAGGGTGGAGACCACCATTCAGTCAAGGGATTGGCAGTGATTGTTTCACTGTCTAGGGGTTTGAGTGGAGTTTTTGTAGAGTTCTACAAGAATGTTACCCTTCCCTGCCACCCCTACCACCCAACAGCACAATGGTAGGGCCTGTCTCCAAGTACATATTAAGAACTTGGCATATCAACAGTGAATGGCCTTACACCAAGAAGCAGAGTAGGAGATGGTCTCTTATTGGATACACAGGGAAAGCCAAAAAGAGTTGTGGTTCAGGAAGCCAACTAGTGACTTTTCACAGCAAATTAAAACTGCATTAGAAGTCAAAGTTATAAATTGGACCCAAGTTACAAAATGGAGTCTAAGAAACAGAGGATCACACAGCAATGCATATTTTCACCACATCAATACTACATTTTTGGGCACTGGTTGCTTCTAAGCCAGCAATCTATCAGCTTCAACACTGTGGCTGTTCCTAACATCTTGGTATTTCAAGGAAATAAACCAGTCATACAGACTGGATGTTGGAAAGTCTAAAACCTTTATTTACAGAAATAGAAACCAAGAATGATATGGTAATGACAGAATATAACCAAATAGGATTTTTTTTACTTTGCTGAAAAGTATGGGTTTGTTGTGTTTCCTTATTCTATTTAGTTAGTTTTAGAATGTGTGCTATGGTTGAACTGAGGATATCCTATGGCTAATTCTAGAGCAAGATCATGAGCATCCAGAGTAATAATAGACTGAAAGGAAAAGTTGGAAAAGTGAATTTCAGTCTTTGATTTCAGAAACATGATGTAATTATCCACAGTGATGCATTATAGTTTAACTTTAAAATATTTTTGTATTTGTTTAGCTATTGAATGTGAAAAAAAAAATCACGTCCAGGTGTTACATGTTAGTATTTCAATAAACAAAAGTAATAAAATGTAATAGAATTCCTTGTTCTTGGTTTACTTTTTTTTTTTTTTAACTGCCTGGACTTAAGATTTCAAGGAACACAGTTTTAAATGTGAAAAACTACTGTTTGTGTAAGAATGAAATGAAAAGAATTCTCGGAGAATCTTATCATTCAGAAATAAAATTTCTTTACATAATTTTAGATAACTCATAAGAACTGGGATTTTCTATGCTCTTCAGATTTCTCTTCCCAAGTCCACAGCTGGGCTGTGTACATTCTCTTATGGCAAGATTTGCTGGAAATGAAAACCTAATTATAGCTTCATATATATCAACAGTATTATTTGATTTTTTTATCTTCTGGAAAAGTTAATTTTTTTTTTTTAAACGAAGACTATAAGTTGTGGAGAAGATGCTGATCTGCTTTGGGAGAAGATTACCAGGAGCTTCTCCACACAGATGAAATTACAAGACTTGTTAAAAAAATTTTTTTTTTCACCAGATTCGGTTTATTCTGAGTTTTAGCATTTTTAATACTTTTTTTTTTTTTACTGGATCATACCTAGCTTTTGTATTAATTCTCTATTACCTTCCTATACTTCTGTCTTCTGTACTTCCTTCTTATCTAAATCTAAGAAGTTTCTTATTAACTTCATTAGGCAAACTACTTCTTTGTCTTCAGAATCTGATTGCTGAGAGCTTCACATTCTTCATAAGTTTATATCCTTTATAGATTTTTTTTTTGACCATGGGATCCTGCTTATTCTTTTTTTGAATCCTTTGAAATTCATTTTCCCATATCTGAAGTGTATGTCTACTGTGCCGTGCTTTCATGTCCTTAATAATAAACTCATGAATTCCCAAAAAGTTCCATCATTTCTTTTTCAGCCATCAATTTTTCCTTGTTGGCCAAAAGTGGGTTCAGACTAGTAGTCCCTTTGTATTTTTCTTTACCTTTCAGAGAAGAATGAAATTATCATTAAAGTAATAAAATACTTTATTAGCTGGTCTTTTATCAGCAGAGGATAAGAATTCCAGCAGATGTGTGGGATAAGTTCCCCATCAGAACTACCTCATGCCTCCCTGCCCAGAATGTGTCCTGTTTTCTAAACTCACCTCTAGTTGGTCTAGTTGGCCCAATGACAATATTGTTTCTCTCCACACTGATTTTTATCCAGGTATTCTCTACCCACTCCTCCCCAGTTTTAGATTTCCTCACATGAATATATCTTATATTATGCTATTCAGCTATCCTTTTTGTCTCTTCTGATCCTCTTTTTAAAAAAAAAATTTGAACTTAAATGAGAACAGAAAAAGGATTGTATCTAAAATTTACAAATCTGTTACATATAGCTTGCTTTGTAAAGTATATAACAAACTCAACATGTAATTTTCAAAGCTGTCCCTCATATATTAATTTTGTTCTCTTCTATTAAAAATAGTGACCTTCTTTTATGTGTTTCTGTGGGACCACCACCTTATTAATAACTTCTTCCTCCCACCTTCCCCACCAGTGGGAGGAAAATCTTGTGATATACAATCAAACAAAACAAATGTCTCATTCTACATCATTAGTCCATCACCTCTCTATCAGGAGATGGGTAGTATGCCTCATATCCTCTGGCATTATGGTTAACCATTTCACTGATCAGACTTCTTTAGTCTTTCTAAGAGCTAATTTTCTTTATAATGTTTTTGTTAGATTTATTCTCCTGATTCTTTTCACTTAACTCTGCATCAGTTCATAGAGGTCTTCCCAGGTTTCTCTGAGACTATCCCTTTTGTCATTTATGATGCAATAATATTCTCTTGTATTCATATAACAATTTGTTCAGCTATTCCATTTTAGAATGTACTTCCTTTGAGGGCAAGGACTACTTTATTGTTTCTGTTTTGGGGGGGGATTTTTACATTTATTAAGTGCTTACCAGGTTCTAAGTGTGGGGCACACAAATAGAAAAATAGACAGTCCTTGATCTCAGAGCTTATATTCTAATGGGTGAGACAACATATATGGAAGGTTTTAGCAGCAAGTCAGATCGAAAGGTCCCATGGTCTTTAGGGTACAGCAACAAAGTAGATGTCAATGCCTCTACAGTTATTTCCACTGATAACATTTTATAAGTTTCTGATGCTGAACCATTCGGAAGTGCCAAGGACTTTGGTGGCAAGAACTTTCTTTACCTACAAGAGCATTTGCCAGGCTGTATCTACATAGAAATTCCTTGCCAGGATTAAATGAGGTAATATTTATAAAGTGCTTAACAGTGCCTGACACATAGTAGGTGCTTAAGGATGACTGAAGGCACTGGGCTGAAAGTGTTGCTATTTGAAGTGTTCTTGGGTTCAATGTCCTGGGCTATCTCTATCAACTGAGAAGTTATTAAGAGTGACCCAGTTACGAGATGCTAACAACTTAGTGGCAGTGGGCTTTTTTGTTCAGTCATTTCAGTAATGCCTGACTCTTTATGATCCTATTTGGGGTTTTCTTGGCAAAGATACTGGAGGTGTTTGCCATTTCCTTCTCATTTGATAGATGAGAAAACTTGATGAGGCATTTTACAGATGAGGCAAACAGGGTTGAGTGACATGCCTAGGATTACCCAGCTAGTAAATGTCTGAGTCGAGATTTGAACTAAGGAAGATGAGTCTTCCTGACTCCAGGCCTGGCCATCTGTGCCACCTAGCTTGCCATATGGCAGTGGGCCTAGCCTACCTCATTCAATCTGTGCCTTTCCCATCTTCATCTACAGCCTTTCTCTTTAGCTAAATTCACTGGGTTACCTTAACTCTTACCTTCTCGGACACAATCTGATCATGTTTAGTGAATCCAGCTCCCTTCCCATCTCTTCTATTCCTTTTCTCACCTCTTATTCCCATCTCCCTAGATTGCAGGGCTGTATTTAAATTGTTAAAGCCTACTCATGGGTTTTATTTTTAGCTTCGTTATCTCATTTTGTTAGTTTCTTTTTTATGACCTTTGTATTTTCACTTTCTTTCAGACTGGGATACTAGGTCTGAGAGCAGAGAGTCAACCTCAGTACAGGAAATTTCTGAAGAGGAATCATCACAAGGGATGATGGTAGGAAGAGTTACAGAGGATGATGTGTGCAACTTGGAAGAATGTGAGGACTGGTTAGAGAGACAACAGGAAAATGAGAGACGTTTGAGGCAAGTGAAAGTTGCCCACAGGAAAAACCTTACTAAGGAGAGAGACTTTGAATGTAATACATACTGGAAAAGTTTTAATCAGAGGTCAGTTATTGTTAATCAAGAGAAAATTCCTACAGGAGAGAAATTGGGTAACTTTGAAAGAAAGACTTTCAAACAAAACTCAAACCTAATGAAAAATAAGAGAATCTACAAGGAGAAAAAACCTTGTAAGTGTAATGAATGTGGAGAATCCTTCAGTTACCATTCAGTGCTTATTCGACATCAAAGAATTCATACTGGAGAGAAACCATATACATGCAATAATTGTGGGAAAGCCTTCAGCCACAAAGCTAACCTCAAAAAACATTTGAAAACTCACACTAGGGCGAGACTGTATACATGCAACGCATGTGGGAAAACCTTTACTGAGAGCTCAGTTTTTTCTGAACATCAGAAAACACATATTGGAGAGAGACCTTACGAATGTAATGAATGTGGGAAGGCTTTCAGTCGGACTTCACACCTTATTCAGCATAAGATGATTCATACCGGAGAGAAGCCCTATCAATGTAATGAATGTGACAAAGCCTTTATTCACTCCTCGGCTCTCATTAAACATCAGAGAACTCATACTGGAGAGAAACCCTATACATGTAATGAATGTGGGAAAGCATTCAGTCACTGCTCATCCCTTACTAAACATCAGAGAGTTCATACTGGGGAGAAACCCTATGAATGTAATGAATGTGGGAAAACCTTTAGTCAGAGTACACACCTTGTTCAACATCAGAGAATTCATACTGGAGAGAAACCCTATGAATGCAATGAATGTGGGAAAACCTTCAGCAGAAGTTCAAACTTTGCCAAACATCAGAGAATTCATAGTGGAAAGAAACCCTATGAATGTAATGAATGTGGCAAAGCCTTCATTCATTCATCAGCCCTTATTCAGCATCAGAAAACGCACACTGGAGAGAAACCATATAGATGTAATGAGTGTGTGAAAACTTTCAAGTGTAGTTCTTCTCTCCTTAGGCATCAGAGACTCCATACAGGGGAGTAGGCCTCAGAAGGTTATAAATGTAGGGAAACCTTAGAATCCTCAGTAGAACTTAAGCTCCTTGGGAGCAGGGACTGTTAGTTTTTGGTCTTTATACCTGCCATCTAACACAGTGCCTGGAACATAGCAGGTGCTTAATAAATGCTTGTGGGTTTGAATTTGTTATTTTGTTGAATATTTTTACAGTCAATGAAAGAGATCCACAAAAGATTATAAGTTTTTTGGGGCTGAACTTTATATACTTGTGACTTTATTTATACAACACATTGTCCAGGCAGTGGATATTTATCACTTAATAAATATTTGTTGATTCACTGATGATGATAACATCAAAAGCTCCTGCTTTCTCAGGAAATGTGTCTTAAAGGAAACCCTCCAAATAAATAGAAAGTTAACAGTCCAATTCAAGCATCATTTACTTTTCAAAGAACAGCTATAGTTGGAACTCAGTCCTTAAATTCTTTTCTTTCCCACCCCCAAATCTGAAGAATCCAGGGAATCTAGAAGCCATGAGAGTGACCATACCAAGTATATAGGAAAAATATTTTTGGAAACAATACTAATGTCTTACATACCATCACCACTACCATCCCTCCACTAACAAATATATGAAGTCCTGGAAACAAATCTGATGGTACCTGAATCCCAGGTCAAATTTTCTGTTATATTCTTGTTTGTTTTCACTTTAGAAAGGCCTGTTTTATTGTGACACTTGTGGATTATCCTCCATAACCTGCATTGCTGTGATTTTTCCTAATTTTGGAGAGGAGAACTAGATCAATACAAGGGAAAGGACCTGGAGAGAGATTAAGGGGTCACTGTTTTGGACCTCTGGCACATTGTGGCAGAAATTCGAAATCAAAGCCCATGTCCAAGGAAATCAGCACAAGAAGACTTTGTCCTAGATGGGAATGAAGTGCTTCCTGTCCTGTATCCTGGTTGCCTCAGTAGCAAAAGGTCCTGGGACAGTACTAGTGTGAAAGTCACCTCAGATTCTTTTGACTTTAGGAAAAAAAAAACAACTCAAATGAGCTGCATGGAAAAGTATGATCAGCATGAGAAGTTGGTTAAGTTTGTCCTCCAACATTATTTCCTTCCTGCGGCCAAAAATTTGCTTTATTTTTAAAAGAAATGCTTATTTTTTGTTTTTGTATCACCTTCATGCATAAGAACCTAGTTAAAATTATTACAGTGAATTAATAACTTAACCTCCCTCAGTTTTCTTAGTTTCTACAACATAGCCACATTCACTTCCCCTTTACCCTTATACCAATTTTTGTTTCATTAATTTGCCCCACCCTCCATCCACTCTATCAATTTTCTTTACTTTGTAATTGTTCCACTTACCTATTCTTACTTACCTTGTCTTTGTCAACTACCTTATCTTTCTTGACCTTCTTCACTTTCTTGATCCTCTTTAGTCATCATTAATTCTTTAATATCCTCCTTAATTGTCCTTGATATGCAATTTCAACCCAGAAGTAGAATCTGAACAAGTAACTGGGCCTGGAAATTGTTCTCCAAATTTTCCCAAATTTCTGCTCCCTAAATTCAACCCCTGACCTACTTTACTAGTCCCTCCAAGTCACCTATTTTAAGTTCTCTCTTCTGATCCTTCTCCCACAGAAGTTGGAAATAGGGCAAGCTGAAGAATATCCAGAGCTGGGTAAACAGAATGGTGAAAAGCCTTGAGTCCATGTTACAAAAATTTAATACTCAGTTGAAGGAACCAGGGAAATGTATCCTGGAAAGTTGAAGACTTAGGAGAAGACATAATAGATGTTATTGAGTGTTGGAAGGGCTTTTAGCCCTTAGAATTAGACTTACTCTTTTTGGCCTTAGAGAGCAGAACTAGGAACAATGGGTGGGAAACTGGAAAGGCAAATTTAGGCTTGATGTCAGGAGGAAAAAAAAAGACTTCTTAATCAGAGTTACACAAAAGTGGAATAGGTGCCTTGTAAGGGAGTAGACTTCCCTGCCTTGGAGATCTTTGAGCAGACTGGATGCTTATTTATTAGGTATGATATAGTGGAAATTCCTTTTGTGTATGAGTTTAATTTCTAGGATTCCTTCCAACTCTGATTTTGTGACTACTTCTAATAGTAGTTAATGACTTCTAGCTCGCAAATAGCAAGGCAGCAATTTGTTGGCTAAGAGACATGTGCTGTCTTATCAGGTCATGTGTCTAGAAACTAACAGACTTGATAAACCTCGTGACAATTGCACATTGATAATGATTCATGTAGGGACAAATGATATAACCATATGGAACCTAGAAACTAATGCTAAATATTTTGGAGTCCTGGGAAAACACAGAAAACTCTAGGGACATGTGGTGTTTTTATCACTTTTGATGATTGAAGGTAGGAGATCCATAAGAGAAAGTCAGAAAATGGGATTTGAAGTTCTAGATAACGTCTTAAAATATAGACATGATTAGCTCTTAGCTGGGAATAAAGCATATCTAGTAAAGGTCAGTAAAAGGTTGTTTGCGTATAGGGTTTTTGTCTATTTTTTTTTTTGACTAGTTTTAAATCCAAACCAGACAGTTTTAAACTAAAGGGAAAAAGAGGAAGAAAATCTCTAGCTCTGCCAAGGCTGGTACTACAAAGAATATTAGGTTTAATATTAGACAAACAACAGAAAAGAGGACCAGTAATTTATAGATGAAAATAACCAATAAGAGAACCAACATTGTGTCAGTTGTCTATATACCAATAATAAATAAAGATTCCATCTCAACAAGGCAAATAACCTCAAAGACATCACTGAGATTTGTTGAATGGGAATTCTGAGTAGAATATAGGTCTAGAGGGTTATATATAATTTTTTGATTTTTTATTGATACTTTTTCATTATTGTTACTGATATACTGCTACCCATTTACCTTTTAACAAAGTAAAACAAACCAATATATCATTGGCACATTCCACCCCCATAGTCTACTACTTTTATACCAAGAGAATACCACTAAATTTTATCAGAAGTCTTCTGGAATCAAGATTGGTCATTATATCAGTCTGATTTCTGAGGTCTTTTACTGTTGTTTTCCTTTGTTATAGTCAGTGACTGCACAAAAAATATGTGTGTGTGTGTATTCTTGGTTCTGCATTCTTTTCTCCACATCAAGTTCATATGCAAGTCTTACTACATTTTTTTGAATTCTGTTTTAAAATAATGTTTTTTTCCATTTACTTTTAAAAACAATTTTTAACTTTCATTTAAAAATTTTATTTAGTTCTAAATTCTCTCCCTCTCCCCATCTTCCCCTATTCCTGAGATGGCAAAAAAAATTTGATATTGGTACATGTGCAATCATGCAAAACATTTCCATATTAGTCTTGTTGTGAAAGAAAACACACACACACACACACACACACACACACACGCCATGAAAATAAAGTGAAAAATAGTATGCTTTGCTCTGCATTCAGACTCCATCACTTCTTTCTTTGGAGGTGGATAGCATGAGTCCTTTGTGTTATCGTGAGTCCTTTGGAATTGTCTTGGATCATTGTGTTGCTAAGAATTGCTAAGTCATTCACAGTTGATCATGGTACAGTATTGCTGTTACTGTGTACAATATTCTGTTTCTGCTCACAACACTTTGTATTAGTTCCTTTAAATCTTTCCAGGTTTTTCTGAATGTATTCTCATCATTTCTTCTAGCACAATAGTATTCCATTACAATCATCTACCACAACTTATTAAACGATTCTCTAGTTGATGGACATTCCCTTAATTTCCAGTTCTTTGACACCACAAAAAGAGCTGCTATATTTTTTATGTGTAGGTCCTTCCCTCCCATGCTTTTTGAAAATCTCTTTGGGATACAAACCTAGTAGTGATATTGCTAGGTCAAAAGAGTATGCACAGTTTTACAGCAATTTGAGTAGTTCCAAATTGTTTTCTAGAATGGTTGGTTCAGTTCAGAACTCCATCAACAATGCATTAGTATCTCAATTTTCCCACATTTTCTCCAACATTTATCATTTTCCTTTTCTGTCATATTATCTAATCCAACAAGTGTGAGGTGGTACTTCAGAGTTGTTTTGATTGGCATTTCTCTAGTCCATAGTGATTTAGACTATATCTTATGACTATAGATAGCTTTTCTTATGACTATAGATAGCTTTAATTACTTCATCTGAAAACTGCCTGTTCATATCCTTTGACAATTTATCAATTGGGGAATTACTTCTATTCTTATAAATTTGACTCTGTTCTCTATATATTTGAAAAATGGGGCCTTTATCAGAGAAACTGACTGTAAAATTTTCCCCCAGCTTTCTGCTTTCCTTCTAATCTTGATTGCATTGGTTTTGTTTATGCAAAAACTTTTTTACTTTAATCAAAATTACTCATTTTACATTTTATAATGTTCTGTAACTCTTATTTGGTCATAAATTCTTCCCTTATCCATAGATCTGACAGGTAAACTATTCTATGCTCCCTTAATTTGCTTATGATATCACCCTTTATGTCTAAATCATGTACTCATTTTGACCTTATCTTGGTATACGGTGTGAGATATTAGTCTATACCTAGTTTCTGCCAAACTGTTTTCTAGTTTTCCAAGAAGTTTTTCTCAAATACTGAGTTGTCCCCCCAAAATCTTCGGGTTTATTAAATACTAGATTACTGCAATCATTTACTACTGTGTCTTGTGTACTTAATCTAGTTCATTGATCCATCATTTTGTTTCTTAACCAGTACCAAATTGTTTTGATGATTATTGCTTTATAATACAGTTTGAGATCTGGTATGACTAGACCACCTTGCTTCACATTTTTTCTTCATTAATTCCCTTGATACTCTTAATCTTTTGTTCTTCCAGATGAATTTTGTTATTATTTTTTCTAACTCTATAAAATAATTTTTGGTAGTTTGATTAGTATGGCACTGAGTAATTAAATTAATTTAGGTATGTCATTTCTATTCTATTGGCTCAGCCTACCCTTGAGCAATTGATATTTTTTCCAGTTGTTTAGATCTGATTTTATTTCTGTGAAAAGTGTTTTGTAATTATATTCATATAGTTCCTGGATTTGTGTTAGCAGGTAGACTTCCAAATATTTTATTGTTTTCACTCTTCCTGGTTTAGATATCAGCACTATATCTGTGTCATAAAAGGAGTTTTCAAAAGGTCTCCTTCTTT